GTGTACATCGACCACTTAGCATAAGCACCTTTTGCCATTCATTCTTGAGCACACTCAAATATCAGCTTAGGTTGATCTTGTTTCAGAAGCTTTGCCCTCTTTTGTAAAAAGAAAAAAAAGTTAAAAAAAGCTTTACCTTTGTTCTCCTTCTGGCATTTAATACAGACTTGTTTATTTTGCAGATCGCACACAGCAGATATCACCGTGGCACATACAACTCGAACGGCCGATGAGACTAATGCTATTACAATAAAGCTTTCCACAAGAGCCAAAAGGAGGCTTGTAGGGGTGCACAAGCACATCAAAATGAGATTGGCGCTTCCGGGGCTTGTTTACATTATGCATAAAAACAGGACGATCGGCGACCAGCTGATCGCAATATAACACCAAGGATACCGATGTTTCCATACATAGAACGCAGGATAAAGACCTCAATCGTCCCTTGTATGCTGTAGTTGTCATACTTTCCATCCAACCGCTTTTTAGCGCAATTAACTAGAACAACCGAAGAGTTCGCAACACCGTTTAATGCGAGGCCTGAATGGTTACTTCATCTAAGCAGCGTCAACGAAAATGTTTGTAGCCGCAGACCGATAAGTTTAGTTTTAGATAAAGTACGCGTCATAGTTTCAACGCGCCAACATTGTTGATGTGCACCTTTCTTTGGACCCAAGTAGATTCAGTTCAACTTGATGACAGCTGCACCAGCGTGAGAGCTCACGTCGAACACTTGCACACATATCTTGACTATGGCAAGATTGCTTGCCTTCGACTGGCTTGTACACTTCATTTGTAGCATCACGGTAGGTCTTGGTTGAAGCGATGATCGTCTCGCACACGTAAACAAACAGAGAACAGCACGCTTTGTTTCTACGGGCGTCGCAAGTATATCCCCCCCTTTTCCGCCACGTTGGATCGATCGGAGTGCCCCCTATATTCGTTCAAACTCCTTATGCTCCGACTCTATAACAATGCAAATACCTCGTTCATTGCACTTTTAAAGACTACCGAAACCGACAGATTAACCTCTACGTCACTACCTATTTCGGAACACTTGCAAAACGTCAGTTTTGGAATTTCGTGTGCATTACTGGGTACAAAATAAGTCTCACATGACGCTACAAAAAATGAGCGGTATACTAAGCCACCACTGCGCCGAGAAAAACTCCTTTTAGAAAAAGTTTGGAATGATTCAGCATCTCGCGAGCGTCAAGTGTGCACGCGGCCAAAAGCACGACAGAAAGCAACAATTACGTCCGACCGTCTGGCTGTCGAGCTCCGAGCATCAGTTACCCCCCCCCCCCCCCCCCCCTATAGGGCACGCTCCTTTCGTAAACCAATATCCGCTAGACAGGCCGAGCTCGCGGCCAAACGGTCATACGTGTGCAAAAGGCCGCCTCGCCGCACGCACCACTCCAGCAACGTAAGCGACGTAAGCGCACAGCCAACACCACGCACAGTACACTGCACTGCATACGTACAAAGAGTGAGGAGCATTTGCGCTTGCGCCACCTGCGCCCTGTCCGAAGCGGACACCGTAGTGCGCTGCGAACACGCGAAGAACGCATGACGTCAAGGAGCCAACGCCGCGTCGATGAAAGAGAGAGAAAGAAAAATGTCGTTAGACGTAAGAGTAAAACAAAACGAACAAAAAAAAGTGTCGACGAAATGTAGTAATATGGTGGCTGAGTGGTAAGCTCTGTCGAGCATCGAATGTCGAAAAAACGATCTTCGGATGACACATCGATGAAACAAATGTTGAAGAAACGATCTGCCGATGAAACATCGCAGTGTCGCTGAAACAATCTGTCTATGAAACCTTGTTCGACGAACTGATTGCGTGTAAAACTGCGTGTCAAGAATGACGCGGCTTGCCACATGAAAAGTGGCGCGCCCTACATGATCGAGAGCGCGACAAAGAACCACATGGGGACAGCCGCAAACCCCCAAACCACTGCAAACCAAACCAAGCAAAGTCATGCCAAAGTCAAACCAATCCAAACGAAATCAATTCAAGGACGGCTGCATGTATCAAGATAATAAATGATGACAGTATTTTATAAAGGCCAAGATGACTGAAAAACAATGCCGGCCGATGATTCTCCCTAAATCGCAGCCTACTCCGGCAAGCACGGTCGATCAACAAAAGCAGAAGCAACTCGAGTGAGAAGAAAACTCGGTCACCGCGGCCTCTGTTCATAGAATAGCATACGACTGACAGACACCACTGTCAACAGGGATTATGGTGAGATTTCAAACCGTCGTCACGTGCAACCACCCTACCTAATATAACCGTTCTCCCCCCCCCCCCCCCCCCCCACACACACACACACAAAAATGGGTCGATGCCCATATGTTTACTATATATACATTCTGCATAAACTTCCGTAGAAGTACCTGTGGGTGGCACAAAAAAAGAAACGGAGGTGATATATGTAGTAATTGTTTATCTGTGTACAAATGAGCGATGTATGCACAGCGAGGCGATGTTCTAATCACTGCGACATTGTCTGTGTAACCTGTCGGAAGGCGCGTTTCTGTTTTCCCGCCGCCCTTGTCAGCAGGCGAAAGTTAAACGCACCCACTTTCGTCAGCTTGCATTTAGTTTCTTTCGTAATTCATCCAGGTTTACGAAATTTGGTAGAAATGTGCGGAGCATAAACATTAACATAGTACATTTCTTTCAAATTGGATTAGTGGCTCAGAAGTTTCCCCGCCGCACGACTCACGCGAAGACAAACCAAAGGCTTGAGAGAAACAAAAGAGCACAAAGAAAGCAACCGGCAAGCGTGATGACCTGTGAGTGTGAGGACCTGTGGGTGTGATGAGCGTGAAGACCTGTGTGAGGACCGTGAGGACCGTGAGTACCTGTGTGGGTGTGAGGACCGCAAGGACCTGCGAGTGTGAGGACCGTGAGGAGCTGTGAGTGTGAGGACCTGTGAGTGTGATGAGCATGATGACCTGTAACAGTGAGGACCGTGAGGAGCTGAGAGTGTGAGTGCCGTGAGGACCGTGATGACCTGTGAGTATGAGGACCGTGAGGATCTGTGAGTGTGAGGACCGTGAGGAACTGTGAGTGTGATGACCTGTGAGTCTGATGATTCGTGATGACCTGTGAGCGTGATGACCGTGATGATCTGTGAGCGTGACGACCGTGATGATGACGGCGAGTGAGTTTTGGTTTTGCGTTGAGCCGTGAGGGTGAGTCCGGGTGATGATCCTATTTTGAATAAATCGTGATCGTGAGTGGGCGTGAGTTCTGATTGAGGAAAAAATAGTGATCGTGAGTTTGAGTGAGGACAGCTTAAAATGCCGACCTATGGTTGTGAGTGAACGTGACACTTCACACGTCAAGCGTGATATCGGGTAACTTTTGTAGCTTTGGAATTCCTCCAAACTGAAACTCCTTTCTAGGCCGTGTATGTACAGTCTCCGGCAATATGAAAGACCCACTGGCAACGCGTGGCCGAGGCGGTGGCTGGCGGGGGCGCTGCGAGCGCTCCGGGTAATTCCATTCTGCTTCGAGGGGAGGACGCTCACTCGGGGCTCAGCACAAACTGATAAGCGCGTTTCGCTTTAGCTGAGCCCGAGTGAGCGTCCTTTCCTCGAAGCAGAATGGAATTGCCCGGAGCGTTCGCAGCGCCCCCGCCAGCCACCGCCCCGGACACGCGCTCCCAGTGGGTCTTTCATATTGCCGGAGACTGTACATTGCATTATATATGATTCACGGATGCGATGCTAAGTCAAGGTACTCCGGCGGACAATGAGTTGAAACACGCGATACCGCCTTTTTCTGCGCACGCGTTCACTACAAGCTCTCTTAATTCTCAGTTTCTTATTTCGTTCAAAGTATGGAAACTCAACCTCGCATAATCATTCCTAGGTCGGACCATAGCTCCCTTAAAAACTGGTAGTACGCCAAAGAAGCATCGAGGATGGTGTCAACTCATTTTATCGGTGACATTACCCTATTACGTCAAAATGTGTTTTCTCGTTTAAAGAAACCACAGACACTTTTGCGTTTGCTTACGACCGAATCCTTTCGATCTCTTACGACTATGGGACACACTGGCACGTTGGCGACATCTATGGATCGAGTGCCGTGAAACTACATTTCACTAAAGCGAACGTTCTGCATCATTTTCCAAAATCAAATGTACAAACAATCTGTGAGAAATGATCGCTTAAGTTAACACTGTAAAAAAATTTTTTTAGATGAACAAGAAATGTATCACCCTAAAAAAAATGTAAATGTTAAGTATTTCACTGTTATCCGTTTTATGCTAAGCGTAAGTTCGTCTGCTTCTTGCACGGAGGTTGTAGTGACGTCAGAACGCTGAACTCGTATTGGGTGATTAAGAAAGAAAATAATGGGTAGGCTCAATATTATTAGATTAGCTCAGTTACGGAACTGCTCACAAACGCTGCACGCACGAGCGGTACTCCCCTCACTCAGCACGACTCGCCTGCCGTCGTTCGACGCGCCAGACGGCTGCTATGGTAACTGCGGTGTATTCTATGGAATACGCACGTTTGGAAGTGCAGCCTCTAAATGGCGTTCCACCGCACACAACGAAACGCACAGTTCTTAAACAGAAATCTAGATGGCGCTTCGAACGACGGGAGGCGGACTGAAGTGAGGCAGCGGGGTGGGGGCGGGGGGGGGGGGGGGGGGGGGGGGAGGGGTACCCTTTTTCGCGGAAGTTCCACAACTGAGGTAATCCAGTAACCTTGGGTAAGCCTCAAGGCATCCTTTAAGCAAAGCCAATCAGAGCTCGGCGTCGCTCTGACGTCACCAAAACACCTACGTAAAAAGCAGACGACTTGCTATCCGCATAGCACCCAGTGTCTTCTCTCGTCCGAAGATTTCACGATATGTTTTAACGCACTCGATCATAAGCAGCCGCAAGTGTGTGAACCACCCTTAAGAATACATTTCTTACAAACCGATGTTAATTTTTTTTCGTAAGGCTTGTTGAGACACGGAGTTTTTCTTGCAGCTCCGAAGGACGGTTCTTGTGACTTCGACTGGGATGACGCTTGTGGCTACAGCGTGGGGAACGGCTCAAACCTCTGGCGGTTGAACCATTGGAAGAGGAGCGAGAGTGTCACGGCTTGGTTGACAAACAAGGACGTGACAGTTGGATTTGGAGGTGCGTGTTGCCTTCTAAATAACTTCTTACCCAATATCTTTCTTTTTAAAGATCTGTTTTTTGTTTGTTTTTAGATTCACCATACATTGCAGACGATCGACTGGTCTGCAATGCTGGAATTGAATCTGTGAAAGTTTGGTTTCAACAATCATCAACGGCCTAAAGTAATGCCTATAGTTTTAGCATATATCGGTCAACCCTTTTGTGTGAATTAGTATCGCTTGGCTCAAAATGATAAAATATAACAGCATTTTCAGAACGTTATACTATTACTACGGAAGAAAGGCTGCAAGTTTTAACTTGGAGGCAATTGTGTCCACAAAATATTATCGAACGGTTTTCGTTAGGTTTTTTTTTTTTTTTTACGCATGGAATATATTTAGAGCACTCCCGAATCCCTAAACCCTGCCTGTCCGGCCGTCCGTTGATATATTTATCTGCTAAATTTAGCGGAAAAAATTTATGCTACGTGCGGTCACTTCCTCATATGACTTCACTACTTCACACCGATATGTCAAGTCACGTAAACACGTCGCGTGACATCAATTTGCGTGGTTTCGATTTCCTCACTAGATATAGAAGGGAACGCAAAGTCAAGTGACACGACGTTATGTGACGTAAAGTCACGCTGCACCGTGACGTCACATGTCAGGTCCTAGTATCACGTGATACAATGCCACGTGACGTAAGTGACGTCAATTTTTACTATAAATTTAGCAGGAAAAGTAATATACATTGATTTTCTTCAATTCGTGAAAGGACTGCTGAATGTCTTGTAAACAACTTTACACCATTACTCCTTAAATGCTACACTTTGATGCATCTTAAGAGATCGAAGATAAAGGACGGGGGGTAGTTTTTTAATTATATAATTTCGAACACAATTTAGTTTTTTTGTTATCTAGATACAAAGGTAAAGTTTACTCGTACCCCTTCATGGGGCATTCACAGTGCAGTGTTTGTTGTTCGGCCATTGAGTTGGTGCATCAGCACCATCGAAGGGTAATAACATATCGGTTTAGATCAAACCTAGATCTTAAGAGGAAAATTTTTAAGCTATTAGCTCTATAACAAAATAAAAAAGAGACAACTCCGAAACATTTTAGCATTCGTTTGCTCGTAATTCTCTCACCACTAATACGACTTGAATGATGGAATTGCCGTAGATTTCCTTGCAATCTGAATGTTCAAGAAAGGGTGATTTCATATCATAACGTCCAAATGCGTGGTACGGTACATGCCTAGATTTGTTTTCTAACAGAGCTGCAGCCCCGTCTTAATTGGCCTCTTTCTATTGTACCCCTCAAAAGCAACATCTCCTCTCGAGACTCGGCATTTCTAAGCGTGACGGGTCAGTGCTCCGTCATGCCTGCTCGTTGTACCCCGACAGCACGCAGAAGCGAAGAACCTAATGTTTGTGGAAATGATATTTTCTAGGCTAAAATGCTTACATTTATAAAGGGGAGGGGTAACTATAGAAAATTTATACCTGCGCCGTGGTCTTAAAAGAGGAAATTAACATCAAAAGTGGAGGATAAAAAAAAAAGGTAGTTCTCGCACTAACGCACTTCATGGAACTCCGGCATTAGCCATAAAAAGAATGTTTTAGTTAACTAGGTATTTTGTTCTTGTATTTTTTTTGTTCTTTCATAAATTCCTTAAAGTCTGTACGGTTTTAGGCATCTATGTTGCTAGTATAGACGACGCGATTAACCGTTGAATGGTCACTGGAACCGACCGGAGATGTAGAACAACACGCTGTTTACAAACCAATCCGAGTTTGCCCAAACTTGCTGCGTGCACTGCGCATGCGCAGAAATAAGATTCGCGTGAAGTGAAGCATCTGTGTATGCGCCGCACCGACAGTAGCACCACCGCAGCGGCGTGGCGCCCGAGCCGGGCATTGGTATATAATAAAAAGGCAGCATAACTTATCATCATGTGCACCCCGCCCCCCCCCCCCCCCCCTAAAAAAAAGAAAAAAAAGAAAAGATATAAAGAGCTGTCGAACTAGTGTGCGTATGGTCTATCAAGCAGTCTTGGTGCTTTGAAGGAATACTGAATCGAAATTTCAAACATACCTCTCTCGTTCAGACATAAGTTACACATGATCAACTCATTTAATTTAATTTCAATATTATTTTTTCCCCATAGGGACCCATCTGAGGGCACTACATAAAAAGGGGCCAGGCAAGAAGTTATGCAATGAAAGTTTTGGAAGCACAAAATCTGAACCAAAAATAGGGTTATCGTAGCTTCCGAAACAATGTCGCGCCCTATCGGCTAATGACAATCGCACGCTTTCATTTTAGACGGATGGGTGTGTGTGTGTGTGTGTGTGTTTTTTTAATATTCAATTCTGGCGAGCGCTTCAAAACTGTCAATCGAAGAGCGCGGTGCTTCTCCAGATCTCCCGTCCATAAGTTGCCCCGTGACGTCATGAGCCTCCCTAGTATGGTGGCTACGGCCAAGCGTACCATAGTTATGAGTGTTAATACTTGGTGGCGTCCAACGCGTTTCTACCTCGCTTCGTCGGAGTACCCGAGGTCTGTAACATATCACCGGGAGATTGCGCAGCCGGTGGGGTCGTGCGCGCTGTTGCAATACCATGACCGACCAAGTGAGCTGCCCCGGTGAGCGCTTTCTGGAGAATATACTGCAAAGAATTCACAGGTCTGCCCCCAAAGCTTCTGCTACACTGTGTTTTGGCATCCCGCCGTAGACTCGTCAAGAAAGACCACCGAAAACAGTTGCGAAGGTAACGATACCACGACAAACGCACACGGAACAAGCCGCGGAACGGCGAAACCGCGAGATCTACGAGACCCAGAGGATGCTAACTGCTGCCGAAAAGTAATGCGTCTTCTGCTCCTCGACATGGCCGAATTGGCAACATCGGCAACGTCGGTATCGGGTGCGAGCTTCTTGCTATTTTAACGGGACGACATCCTCATGAGGCGGCTAAGGCAGCTCTGTTACCTTGTACGAGGCGAGATGCAGGAATATTTGCTACCCCATGTTGTCGAAGTTGACGAAAGGACAACTTCATGTGTGACATTGGTAGAACGAGGCAATTGCTGCTTACCCGATTTACCATCCGACTGGTCACAGAGACAAGACTTGGCGAGGGCGCCAGCGTCACGGACAAATGAATATCACTTTGAAGGTGCCACACAAGTAGGCATCCTTCATTTATTAAGGTGAGCAAGGAAGCAGGAGGAGTCAGTTAAGACAGCACGGCGGTGGTATCAGACGAGTATTTCACACAACCTATCACATCGATAGTGGTGTGACTGTAGTATTGTCACGCCACCTCGACGAAACGCATACACCACGATTTTACGCATTCCTTGTCCCGTGCGAACACTAGACGAGCAAAGGGGATGAATGCATCGGCGTATGGGAAGCCTGCGCTTGTTTCGACGGGCGAGGCTTACGTGATTTTCCAAGCGGGCGCACAGATCACAGAGGACGTGAGTGTACAGTTCTCGCAACGTCACACAAAATCTGCTACGAAAAAATGCTCACACCGCCATGATTTTGGAAGCGACTTGTCTCGATTGCGAATACTAAACTATTGAAGAAAAGTCATCGGCACAGCTTTCGTCGGTCTCGTCGAGCGAGGCTTACGCGATCGTCCAAACGGTGGCACTTAGCAACTCGGCGGCGACTTATACCCCTGTCAGACAGGTACAGTCACGATCAGAGGTAATTGGAACACGGGAGCGGTGGCCCAACTGCAATGCAGCGCGATCTAGCCACGCTCGTGGGAACTGATAGGAGACTACGCGCATGCGTGCATGCCGGCGCCGATGGCCTCTCCTCTTCTCTCGACCTATTCCTTTTAGCGGCGGTTCGAATCTTCTTTACCGCTTCTGGGACGCAACGCTACGTCCACGATGGCGCTGATAGCAGACAGCGGGCACGCTTCCCGCGCTCTTTAATGTCTATACTTCGTTTCAGCTTCGGTCCGAGCGCGGCCGATGTTATGAGCCGAAGGGCCAATCAAACTGCAAAAGAGGCACAACGTCATGGCGTGCTCTCTGCAGTTGATAGGACCAGCCGGTATTCGCCGTCTCTCTGTGCGTGCTTCTCCGCCGGCTAGTCTTATAAAGCGCAGAGAGCACGCCATGACGCTGCAAGTTTTGCGGTGTTTGATTGGCCCTTCGGCTCATAACATCTGCCGCGCTCGTACCGAAGCTGAAACGAAGTATATAATATATCTTTAAAATATGTTCTTTAATATCTTATCTTGACACAAATAAAATAAAAAACGCTGTTCGTTGCTTGGAATTAATGGTCTTTGTCAGCTTTGGGTGTAATTTTCTGCAGCTGGCGTTGCTATCTACTCGAGAACAATTTAAATACTTTTTTTTTACGAAGTGATGCGTCACGCAGCGTTTTCCGCGTCATTGAACCAGCACCGAACCGCTTTAGAGTGCACCCGTTTCCTCAGTTCGCGCTCGCGGGGAGCGTCCTCGTAACGCTGACGGACGCTATCAACGCCATCACGGTTGCAGTGCTGTATCTGAGAAGCAGCGAAGGATTATTTGCACCGCTGGTAAATGAAATAGATAGATCTGTGCAGAGGGACTGTCGACGCCGGCAGGTAGGCATGCGCTTAGCCTCCTATCAGTTCCTACGAGCGCGGCTAGATCGCGCTGCAATGCAGTTGGGCCACCGCTCCCGTGTTCCAATTACTTCTGATCGTGACTGTACGTTAAAGGAGTTCAGAACAACCAACTTTTAAATATCAGCGAATGAGCGCACGCCAACAGGCATGAGATCGCGAGCTGATTCGCCGATTCCTTAAAGGACTTCGTTCTGAACTATTTTAACGCACCCGTCTAACAGGGTTATCAGTTGGACGGGGAGATAATCTTTGAATTCTTACATCATAGCACAGAAACTTCCGCGCATCAGGCGATACCGGCACAGCTCTGCGAGGTAAGCCCGAGTCTTTTCGATGAAAAATAGCGCACAAAAAGACGATGACAGGG